AGCTCTGCTTAAAAGTTCTCGTGTGCTGCTTGAAAAACAATTTTATTTTAAATGTAGTTTGGAAATGGGTCTTAGCTTTTACACTGCATGCACTAAGGGTTTTAGTAAATGATGAACTGAACATAAACAGCTGGAAACAGATGTGACTCCGATTTTAAAGTTGTATCTTTTTCTAGTTGTTATACAACTATTGGAGAGCAAGTTGTGACCACAAGAAGTTATTCTGAACAGTGTATGACACCCATGTGGGATTTTTCTTCTGTATTTGTCAGATTAGATTATAAAGAAAACAATGCACATGTAATTTGTTTCCCCTAGGATAGATGGTTGCTGATTTTTGCTTTTACTTTGTTGTTTTGTGCCAAACAAAGCTGTCATGCTTTTTACAGCTTCATAATAAACTGGCAAAGAAGCAACAAGGTAAAAATAAAAAATAAATAGAAAAATAAAATGCAGATTTTGCAGGACAGTCTCGTTTCAGTATTTAACGACACTAAATGTTGGTCTGTGTTCATGTGTTGGCAAACACATCCTGAAATCATTGAATGATATTAAATAAAAAAATTAGAAAGTTCTTATCGTATATATATATATATATATATATATATATATATATATATATATCCACAGCTATTTAACTCTTTGGAGGTAAATTTGATTTACTGTATGTAGGACAACCGCCACAGCTAATCACATTTTACAATAAATAAATGGCTGTAACTCTGTCAGTTCTACAAATGGTAAACTAAAATGTGTGTGATAATAGCTGAAATTCATCCCCAATTCAGACTTTGAGGGTTAACATATTATGCTAAATATATATTTTTTAACTTCTATAAGCAAAATGCATCTGACTACATAAGATCCATTGAGCTCACACTTAGTCCGGCCCCCTTATCCGCATGATAGGCTGTGCTCCAGAATGTGAAGGCGGAGCCTACGACCTATATATTTGTAATGCCATGTGACATCCGGCCCTTCCGGTCCAAGATCTCGTGTCAAAATTGTATTGGAGAGGCCAGCGCTGTAAAGTGTATATTTTCTCCTACCTTGATTTGAGATAGTTTGAGTTGCAACTTCTGACGGAGGTCTGAGCCGGGGGCCACGTGAGCTGGAGGCGGGCCTGGGATCCAAGATGAGGCCTGAGGCTCACAGCTAGCAACAGCTTGCTGCAGCAGTTCGGGGCCTGCAACAGCTCACGTTGCAACAACTTGGTTGCAAAATGCATTTCTTAAAGCATCTTTACTTGCATTTGTAATTGGACTAAATGTGACAATGTTAAAATGAATGCAATTATTTTATTTTTGTTTTTCAGATGGTTGCATCTATCATTAGCTAATATAAAAAAAAAATATCAAAATAAAAGTATGTTTTGTAAATTTAAAACAAACGAGGGCATAAACAGAGGAAACAAATAAAGGAACTGGATATATGAAGAAAAAAAAAGTTTTAATAATGTATGAAGGGTATAAAATACAAAGTATTAGAACTTGATGTTCTATTTTATGCATTCGTAAATCACGTGTTTTATGTCCAGCATTCTTTGTCTTAGTTGATGCATGCACTCTACGCTTCATGTACATGCTTTGTTTTGGAATCTGCAGCCTCATGTGCAGGTTATGATCATCTTATGGTCAAATAGTTTACCCCAGTGAGTTACCACAAATTGCATATCTGTGCTGTGTGCCTTGTAATGTGGTCATATTTGTACAGCAGTCCTAAAACTAGGCTTGCTGACAATATAAGCCATCCATCAACCCATTGTGCAGTGATAGAATCATATATTCCTTACTGTATTATACAGATGGGACAATTACATCAAGGCCTATAACTACAGCTAGCTGACTGAAAGGGCCCCATATATGGAATGAAACATCAGTCGCAATTACATTTGTGTGTCTTTCTCATCTATCCTTTCTCGTATTCCTCATGCCCACCTCCATGCTACCATCCCACACCCTCCTCCTTGATCTCACCTGCCACTAGGCAAATTAAGAGCCACTCTATCATGACCCAAATATGAGAGGCTCATTTGTAGCTGTTATTTATTTGCAATAAACTCTGCTCATCATCTCCTCTTCCTCGTTCAGACAACATGGCTAAAATAAATAAATAAATAAATAAATCAAAAATGCCAGACTCCCAATGGAGGGTTGTTATCCACAAACACAGTCCATTATCAGCTGAAAGCCTAAATGAATGGTTAAATGGACATTTTCCCCCGTATGATCTCATTTTTTTTGTCTTCCTCTCCCTCCCATCCTAATTCTCCTGTACTTTTCCCACCGTCTCTCTTCTACTGTCCTCAGATGGATGCGTTTCCCTCTGCGGCAGCAAATAGGCCAGGGATGAAAATGCCATATTTAATATAAATAGGTGGTTCTCACTTACTTACAGTTCTCTCACAAACACAGACACTCACTATACCTTGCCACCTGAGTAAGACAAAGAGTCTTTGGCTTATCATCTCCCATTTCCCTTCCCATTATCTTTTTTCTAAAACTCAATAATTGAACTTTTCCATTAGAATACATCATCCGGCCTGCTATCACAAAACCCTGCTGAATAAACTTCTCTCCCTGGCTATTGTGCTTGAGCATGGCATGTTTTTTTTTTTATTTTCTTTTTCTTTTGCTCCCTCCCTCGATTGGATAGGCTGTATTAATGGCATGGTATTTGTTCAGCCACACGTAATAACAGCAATCTGCTGCCATTTGGTGTCCTGTAAAAGACCCATGCCTATTGATGGCTGCATTATAATGCTTTCCATATCCAGGTTACTATTATCATACTATAAATCTGCTGTTAAGCATTGTGTCCAACTGTCCGTAAAAGTTCACGGAGAACCCGAGGTCGTAGATACAGGATATAAAATACAAGGATTACTGGCAAGTAGGTGGGAGAGTTACTGTTTGAATCATGTATCGTCCAGGATATAGCTTTTATTTCATGTCTTTGTATCAACTTAGTTCCAGATGGTTCACAAAATAGTATATTTTTATATAATTCTTGTTCATTTTCAATTTATTTTTCACCACAGGATTTGTATTTTTTTATTGTTTCGATTCTTGTTTGATGTACTTTATCTTGAACATTAATCTAACATTTGAATAAGGTCATCTGGCAGGCTTCTTTTGTTGCTGAGACATTTCATCCTTCATCCAAAGGATTTCTTCAGTCTGAGGAGTCCACAAAACCAAACTGAATCTCACAAACAGCTCACTCCCAAAGTGGAAAAAGACAGTTTGTTGGTGATGAGATGGCCTCTGGGGGCTGCCCTCTGCCCCATCAACTCCCCCAAGGCAGACCATGCCAAAGTGGTTCAAAACACCAAAGTTTGGGCTCCTCAGACTGAAGAAGTCATTCGGATGAAGGATGAAATGTCTCAGCAACAAAAGAAACCATCCAGTTGACCTGACTGAACATTGGTGGATTTATACCTGGATTAATCAGCATGACCTTTGGTATTTAAATGAGGTATTTACATATTAACCACAAAAACAAACAAACAAAAAAAATAGAGTTATCCCTTATTTCTGATCCATGTTGTGGTGCTCATGGACTCAATATCAAAAAACAGTTATAGGGAAGGTGTCTGGTTTGGGAACCTTAAGGTTTTGACTGAGTTTTGCAAAAAAAAACAAAAAAAAAACAGGACCCCCTGCCCTAAACCTAAACCTCTGACCTTTGACCCTAAACCTAAACCTTACCTTGACTGCTAAGTCTAACATGGACTCCTGACCCTAAACCTAACCCTGGACCCCTTGCTCTAGACCTAACCCCCTAACCTTCAACCCTAAATTTGACTGATAACCCTGACCACAAAAATCAGGACCTGTGACCTGGGACTCAGACCCTGACAAGGACCCCCTGACCCATTGCATCACAGAATACACACACTCTCTCATCGAAGCACTCTGTTGAGTTGGCTCGTAACGGGAGGCCTGTGTGGGGTGTTAGAGGTATGTGCATGGGGAGCCAACGCATTGATGGACAGTGTAAATGGACTGTACTTATATAGTGCCTTTCTATCTTATTGAGATCTCAAAGCACTTTACACAACAATCTGTGCCTCATTCGCCCATTCATACAGCACTCTACTAGAACTCTACAAAGCTAATTGAACAAATCATTCTAAAGAGACTACTCAGTGCTTTAGATCATTCATACACCGATGGCACACACATCGGAGGCAACAAGGGGTTCAGTGTCTTGCCCAGGGACACTTCGGCATGTGACTGCTGTGGGGTTTGAACCCAAAACTCTTGCATTGGAGGACGACTGCTCTAACCACTCAGCCACAGCCGCAGTGTACTATATCAAAATACAGTCATAGACAGTGTGTCTGGTTTGGGAACCTCAGGGTTTTAACTTTGATTTTTGAAAACAATGTACTGTAGATCATGACCTGTTCTGCTGGGGCAGTTTGCTGCAGAAAGTGAAGCCACTGGGATGAGAGTCGGATCATGTATGTTTTAGGCCGTCATCCTTAACTGGAAGTATGTGAGGTGCTTCCTTTGGGTTGAGTCTTTGCCTCACGTGGAAAAGTTTAAGTATCTGAGTGTCTTGTTTACAAGTGGTGGTGGGATGGTGCAGGATTTGGCTTGACCGATTCCAAGCAGTACAACTCTGTAGATGTTGTTTACTTTTTATAGTCTACATTTGTTTACAGCAATGTAAACGGTCCCTCCGTGCAACATTAACCAGGTATGTCTGTTTGCTTTTATTTACTTTCAGGTTACACGTGTGCCAGTGGAGAGCTGTGAGCAGTACACTTCCTGTGGAGACTGTCTGGGGTCGGGAGACCCTCACTGTGGTTGGTGTGTGCTACATAATGTGTAAGTGCTTGTATTGTTCATTTTGTATGTGGGTGGTTATTTTTAGTTGATGTATTGAGTGCAGTTTCTTCTTCTTGTTCGTTTTTTTTCTTCTTGTTCTTCTTCTTCTTTAATTATCATTATATTATTATTGTTGTTGTTGTTGTTGTTGTTGTTGTTGTTGTTGTTGTTGTTGGATTCATCCTGTAAGGGAGACATGTTTGGAACTGCTGTACCCCATCTTATTTAAATATATTTATAACATCTATATCTTTTCATGTCATGGTATCAACCAGTTTTACATCGTCACTGTTCTGGGAGCTTTGTTTAATACAGTTGAGCAATAATGCAATTTGGATTTGAAGCTTATTTCGGTTAAAATAATGAGTTTATTGCTGTTCCACTTGGAATATGGGACCTTCAAAGAGTCCACCTTCTGACTTCTACTGGAGGTGTTTATAGTAAAAAAAAAAAAAAAAAAAAAAAAAATATATATATAGATATCATTTTTTCATCATTTTTAATTGCTGTCTGTAGATTCTCACAACAAAGAAATGTTGACAAAAACTAACCTGCTAAAAAATTTACAATATAATTCACCTTACTAAACATGTTATTTTAAAAGCTGATGAACGGGAGTGAATAATTAATCAGCTCGTGTCAATCAGCTCAAGTTAGAACTGTCTTTGTGATATTCAAATTCAAATTCAAAAATACTTTATTAATCCCAATCCCAGAAGGAAATATTTGTTGTGGTAACTCATCATCCTGGTTTCATTAAAGAGTTGTTCTAGATGCTGGTCTGTCCTATAACGGATTTGAAGAAGACTCTGACTGAAGACACTTTGTTGTTGTATGACAGTCTGATGAAGAGGATGCTGAGGGTTGTCCATAATGTTCTTCATTTTATGAAGAATCCTTCTCTGTACAATCATCTCCAAGGGTTCTAGAGGAGTCCCCAGAACTGAGCCAGCCTTCTTTATGAGCTATATAAACCATGTCTTATTTTTTTCTTACTTTGTTCAACTGTTGTCATTAAAAACATATCTTTAAGCCATAATTATTACTAGTTTTTTTATGGTCATCCATCTGTTCTGTATTTTTTTTAGTAAACACATTTTGATTGACTTAGACTTTGGTTACACATGGACTTCTGTAAATATGTATCCACACTGGCGTTATTAGCAGAATTGTAATAACACTGATACTGCAGGTTGCTTCTTTCAGACTCTACAAAGCTATTATAAAAGTGCTGAATTGGCTGCCATGTCACCATTGAATATGACATATTCCAGTTATTGCTGTATTAAGCCTTTTAAATGCAGGTTATCCATAAGCATTTTTTCCTCCCTCATTTCCATGCAACTCGGCATGCACCAGTGGTCTGCCTGAAACTCAAAGATCCTGTTATCAATGGAGAAATGGATGTCTACAGAACAATATGTGTTTCCAATATACAAGCATATGTCACACTAATAATAAAAAAAAAAAAATGTAGTTATGCTAAACAGACAACTAGTAAACAGGACTAAATTAAACTCAACTAGAGAAACTGCATTGCCTGCGAACATGCAGTGAGAATGCTTATTGCTGAAGAACTTGCCAAAAAAAGAGCTGAAATTAGCTAAAATAATGCTCAAATGTAGCTGAATTGGAAAGACAAGCCTAAGTTATCAGAAGAAAGCAGAAATAACACATATTTGCTGAATAATGTTTAAATGAGCAGACATTAGTAAAAAAGCTAGGAAATTAGCTCAAATAGCTGAAATTAGCAACAACAAAAAAAAAAAAAACTAACCAAAAATATTCTGAAAAGTAGCTGAAAAGGCAGAAAGAAGCTTAAACTACCAGAATGTAGTGGAAGAAGCTGAAATTAGCTTTAAAATGTGGAATTAGCTGAAAGCTATATTTAGTACAAAGATGGCTAAATAGTAGCTGAAATAGTAGAAAAAGCTGAAACTAGCAGAAATTCAATTCAGTTCAATTCGGTTTATTTATATAGCGCCAAATCACAACAAAGTTGTCTCAGGGCACTTTACAGAAACATTCACATACATGAAAGTCAATTAAGAAATAAGTTGAAAGGAGCATAACAAGCTCAAATTAGCAGAAAGACGTTAATTAGGTTGAATGTAGCAGAAATTTCCATGGAAAACTTGAAGTTATCTGAAAACAGCTGACATTAGCAAAAAAAAATGTTAAAAAGGTAGCTGAAAAGGTAGAACAAGCTTAACTTAGCAGAAATAGAGAACATAGTTTTGTCCAATTCGGCTGAAAGAAGCAGAATTGAGCACAACAAGTGGAAACTGTCTGGAAAAAAAATTAATTAGCAACAAAAGAAAGCTGAAAGGTACTTTGTAGTTAAAAAAAAAAAACATTAAGTAGCTGAAGTACCAAAAGGAAGTGGAGAGAGCACATTTTTTTGCTGAATTAGGCTGAAAAAAGTTGAACTTAGTTCAAATAATGTGAAATTAGCTGGAAAACCCCCCACTAAAATTAGCATAAAACAGCTAAATAGTAGCTGAAATACCAATAAATGCTTAAACTTGCAAAAATAAGCTGAAAGGAGCATAACAAGCTGAAATTAACAGAAAGAAGTTAGATGAAGCACAAAAATATTTTAGTTAGCAGAAAGAATCTGAAAGGAGCACAAAACAGCTGAAAAACCTCAGCTGAAATTAGCTGAAAACATGCTTAAATTTGCACATGGAAGCTGAAAGAAGCTGAACCAGAGCAAAATGTGTCTAAATAAAGGTTGAATGAAAGGAGCAGTAAAATGTTGTAAACAGATCTAAAGGTTTGAAGGATGGAAAATGAGCTCAATTAATTTTCCATGAGGAATAAAATGGCAGAAAAGGCTAAGTTTTTCAAAAAGCTAAAGTTGCACCAATACCAAAAGTCGTAGCAGGATTGTCCAGAAAGAGCTGAACATTTTGATTTATGATTTGTTGAAATAGCACAAAAATCATAGAATGAGAAAGTTGCTGAAAAACATATGGAAGAAAAAGGATCGCGGCAGTGTGAATGCTTCATAAACATCCACACAACAAGTCTAAATGCATCACTTGCAGGGTTTAAATGTGACACTGTTTAACTCTTCTTCGTTAGATGTGCGAGGAGGGATCGCTGCGAGCGAGCAGAGGAGCCTCAGCGTTTCACCACCCGAGTGGAGCAGTGTGTTCATCTTTCCGTCCATCCCGAGACCATCTCAGTAACCATGTCAGAAGTGCAGGTATGGCATTGTCAGATCTTGTTATATAACATTGCTGTATTGTATTTGTTGGGCATTTGTGTGATATGAAAACTAGAGGGGGAGACATGGACAGGGAACGCGCTATAAAATGATATTAAATGAAACGTGTGTCAACACAAGCAATCACTTTTAGTTGTAGCTGAAAAGTATATTGTGAGCCACATCTGAGCAGCGTTTTCTGCTACGGGGCATCAGTAATGAAATATATTGATTTAAATTTCTGTTGTACCTCATCTTTCTGTCCTCCTTCCTAGTTGGTGCTTCAGGCGCAGAACGTGCCCAGTCTGTCTGCTGGAGTGAACTGCTCCTTCGAAGACTTCGTAGAGACGGAGGCACGCATCTACAGCGGGCGGATCTTCTGCCTGTCTCCCACCACAAAAGATGTTGCACCCTTCACACGTGACCAAGGTAAGCCCAAACACATGCAAGGAATAAAATGCACATTTGGACAAAGTACCTAAAGTATAAACGGGTAAAGAAAAAGAGCAAGTTTTAAATACGTTTTGGAACTATGAAAATTTTACTAGATTTTTTTCACTATTTATAAAACCTTAACATAACTATCATTTATGTTTTTGATACACACATTTATTCTACACTAATCCTTTGATGTAAAGAGTGTTGAACTCAACTACACAGAACTAGCAGAACTGTGTGAACAAGAGGGAGACTGGTGGAACAGTGAGGCTACCATGAGCAGAGGTCACAAAGGTCAGGACTTCAAGTACTTCAGGTCCACTGTCCAGAAAAATGGGGAGTGTGGTAAAGAGGTGAAGAAGAGAGTCCAGGCAGGATGGAGTGGATGGAGAAAAGTTTCAGGAGTGATTTGTGACAAAAGGGTGTCAGCAAAGGTCAAAAGAAAAGTTTACAAGACAGTGGTGAGACCAGCTATGTTGAAAGACAGAGGAGATAAAGGGATGCAGTTAGAGAGGACATGGGGGTAGATGGAGTGAGGATATAGGATGCAGAGGACACAGTGAAATGGAGGAGGATGACTCGGTGTGTAGAGATCCCTGAAGAGGGAAAAGCTGAAAGAAGAAGAAGAGATAGATGGATGGATGGATAGAATTCAAGTTAAAGTCCAACAATAATGAACTGAGGTGTGTTTCACACAAAAATAAAAAAATAAATCTACTAATCCGTGTTCTATGGAGACTCATAAGCTTTTTTTTTTTTTTTTCATTCAACTTTTATTTAGACAAGTAAATTCCATTGAGCCTCGAGGACTCGTTTACAAGAGAGACCTGATTTCAACAAAGAGTGATGAAAATTACTTTGAAACTAGCCTGTGAACTAGTGAATATTTAAGCAACAGTTTTTGTCCTGGACTTCGTGTTTATTTTCCACAAGTTAAAGTTTGTTTGTATTTCAGGTTTTCTGAGTGGCAGTAACGTTTTTTTTATTATAATTTTTTTTCAATTATTATTTCAGTGTATTATGTCAATTTCCTTTATATATAGAAGTATAAGACCCCTGTGAAAATCCCTCAGAACACTTGTATGTTTGTGTCTGTTTGTGTAGGTGATCAGCGCGTAATAAGACTGTTTCTGAAGTCCAAAGAGACGGGAAAGAAGTTCGCCAGTGTGTTGTTCATCTTTTACAACTGCAGCGTCCACCATTCGTAAGTTATGTCAAATGCATGAATGGACATGTGAGCAAAAATCAAATTCCATATTGCTTTTTAAACTATTCAACAAACTTTTTAAACTCTAAATAGCCTAACAACTATTTGACTGGTTGACTGTAATATGCAAGATGCAGAGCAGTAGACATCGGTAAACCATAAATGTTTATATGTGCTTTCTTACCAAAAGTAAAATACATGCAACTATTTAATAGAGAATGATGAAAACAGTGTGTAACCTTTGCTTATTTAGTATTCAGTGTATTCAAGCTTTAACAAATCAATTAGTTAATTAAATCCCAGGCAATGAAGTGACCACTGGTGAGTGAAATAATAAATCGATTCCTATCCATGCAAGACCTGGAAGAGTAACCAAGCTTAGGATGCTAAAGCACATCATTCAGGATTTTGGAAGCAAATTATCTGTAATTTAGATTAAAACACTGATTTACTTCTTTGTCCTAGTTTGAACACTTTTTTAAACATTTTTGTTGTATTTGTCAATTACTTAAGATAGAGGATCTGGCCAGAGACACATAAGCAATTGTCAAATACTCATGGCTGTTGTCGTTTGTTGTGAAGACTGTTTTGAAAAATTTGTTGATAATGTTGTTTTACAAAACCTATTTGGTTTATATTCAATTCAATTCAAAAATACTTTATTAATCCCAAAGGGAAATTATTTGTTGTTGTAACTCATTATCCTCATTTCATTAAGAGATGTTATAGACACTGATGGCCGTAGACAGGAAGGATCTTTTGAAAAGGTCCATCCCACAGTGGATCCTAAGAAACTGGCTGCAGACGCTGTCTGATCCGTCCACCCAGACTCAGCTGGCCTCTCGGTTCCCCTGGGCTGTAGGACCGTCCAAATGTCGGGCAGAACTCCTCCCAGAGCGATGGCCACTCCTCCCAGCAGCCTGCTGAGCTCCTCATCACTGCAGACAGCCAACTGTAGGTGCTGTGGGACGATCCTGTCCTTCTGCTGTCATGAGCCATGTTTCCTGCTAGTTCCAGGATCTCAGTGGTCAGGCATTCGAGCACAGCTGGCAGGTAGATGAGAATGCATCCATAGAACATCCTTTTCAACTCATTTGAGATTTGGGGCTGTAGTTGAGATATTATTTGAGCTTTTGAGATGTTAATCAGCTGCTGTTGTAGAAAACTGCCTTGTTGCCATAGTTACGCATCATAACAAATGTCCAAAACTAAAAAAGTTTCAGTAAAAATCCTTCCAGCTGCACAGCATCCGATACCAGAGGAAACAATCATCCAAAAAATGTGATTTACATCCAGAAAAAGAGGAATTAATGTTTCCTAAAATAAAATCTCAGAAAGAAAGTAACAGAGCTGCTCTAACATGCAGCCACCTTGAGCGGCGCAATTCTAGAACATGTATGTATTAACATTTAGCATTGAACTGACAGGTAAGAGAGGAATGGTAAAATATCACTTTTAAAAAAGATAAATATAATGTATGGACCAAAAACGACTGGTTGCAGTCAGGTTTATTCAGCTGGTTTTGGGTTTCAGCTGGTGGAAAATAAAAACATGTGCATTGCTCTCTTCAGGTCAAGGGTGAGGTTCTGCCTCAATTGGAGGAGTTCAAGTATCTTGGGGTTTTGTTCACAAGTGAGGGAAGTATGGAGCATGTGATTGACAGATGGATTAGTGCAGTGTCTGCAGTATTGTGGACTCTGTGCCGGTCCATTGTGATGAAGAGGGAGCTGGGCTGTAAGGCAAAGCTCTCTGTTTACTGTTTGGTCTACGTTCCTACCCTCATCTATGGTCATGAACTCTGGGTAGTGACCAAAATAACGAGATTGCAGATACAAGTGGTTGAAATGAGTTTCCTCTGTTGGGTAGCTGGACTCTCCCTTAGAGTTAGGATGAGGAGTCCAATTATTTGGGAGAGACTTGGAGTCGAATCGTTGCTTCTCTACAATGAGAGGAGCCAGTTGATGTGGCTCAGGCATCTGGTAAGGATGCTCCCTGGGCACCTTCATAGGCAGGTGCTTCAGGCATGTCCAACTAGGAGGAGACCCCAGGGAAGACCCAGGACACGATGGAGAGACTATGTCTCTCATTTAGCCTGGGAATGCCTTGTGGCCCTCCCAGAAGAGCTGGAAGAGGTGGCTGTGGAAAGAGATCTAAATGGTAAATGGACTGTACTTGTTTATCACCTTTCTATCTCATTAAGATAATCAAAACACTTTACACTACAATCTGTGCCCTCATTTACCCATCCATACAGCATTCTACTAGATCTATACAAAGACTAATCAGTGCTTTGTCACATTCATACACCGATGGGACACACATTGGAGACAATGAGGGATTCAATGTATTGCCCATGGACACTTCAGCTTGTGACTGCTGGTGGAAATGAACCCCCAACTCTTGCATTGGAGGACAACTGCTCTAACCATTCAGCTACAGCCACCCAGATGCCCAAATGTCTGGACCTCCCTGCTCAAGCTGCTGCCCCCGCAACCCGACTTCCAAAAAAAAAACCGGAAGATAATGGATGGATGAATGGCTGGATGTATCTATGGATGGATTGTTTCAGCTGTTTCCCTTGCTAACATTAGTCCAAGCAGCTAAAGAGCAATTACCAGTTCATATCATCAGAGTATGTGTGCGCTAATAAATTTTGACAACAAGCAGTTGAAAAACTCCTGTCATCTCCTTTTCAGCATTTGTAATCGCACAAATGACAGGCTGAAATAACCCTGACAAGATCTCACCAGTAACAACTCTCGTGTTAATTTATTCATGGCTTGCCTTCCTCTGTTGCCTTTGAGACTCAACTGATGCTCTTTTAATAATGCCATCTTGTTGCACTTTTTTTCTTCCTTTGCAGTCCTAGGTGTAAAGTTTGTGCCGCTTTCTTTAAGCCAACTCCTATTAACTAGGTGACGGCAGGAAATAATTTCTTTCTTTGCGTATTATTCATTTTTCATCCAAACTTCCACAAAGAAAATACAGGGAGCTTTGTTAAAGCAACAGAGCAGAAGTGGGTTGAACCAAATAATGAATGAAGGATGTGATCCTGATTGTCTTGTTAAATAAAGGTTAAATGAAAATAAATAAAATGTCATTCTCTTAATGACTTTTGGCTCCCTCTGTGATGTCGCTGAGTGTGATTCACTGCTCCGAGGTTTGCTCACTCCATCTCTTCCACCTGGCACAGACTCACATCTCACATTAAGGTACCATGAGTCTGTGTAGAGATGCTTAATAAAGCATCTGCAGAACAACTAAAGTGCATTTCTGCTACACTTAACAAATATACGTTGGTAAATGCACCACTAAAAGTAGCTTAGACATATTTTTTTAACATCTTTATAAATTGTAGAGTTACAACCGTTATTGCAACTAAAGGTTGTATTTTTGTTTGTCCTGCCATTTTTTTTACCCTATACCAGAGCTACTCAACTGATGGCCCAGGGGCCAAATCAGGCCCACAGGCGAACTCAGTTCAGCCCCTCAGTGGGTTAATCTTTAAATAAAACTAGATTTTAAATCATAAAACAAACTTACTTAATGACAATAACAGCTGTATGTCTGCCTCCTGAGCTCTTGACTTTCAGTAACCGTGGCTAGGCCTGTTGCGATAAACAATACATCAATTAATCGCATGATAAATGAAAATTATCAACCTCATTTTCATTTATCAGCTTTATCATTTCTTCGTTTCTCTCTTTCTACTGAAGACACTGGATGACAAAAAGCTCAACTCCGGTGTTCTTCACTGACCCCTCCCTTTCTCTTTTCTCTTTAAAATCCATGTCAACCGTCCAAAATTGCGTTTTTGGATCGTTAAAAGCAGCTAAACAGAGAAGCTAAGCGGAGAAGCTAAGCTAACAGGCCGACCTCTGGTGAAAAAAAAAAACCTCCGTCTTGTTGACGCTCCAAAATTCACGATTTAAACCTGTGTCTTTGTGGGAAAAAAAGATTTTCACTGCAAAAAGAAGCTGAGGACATAACTTTTTAATTTATTTATTAAAAGCTTTGTGTAAAAAATGCTATGCTAAAGAGCTCAAATCACCGAGCGTCCACCATTTTGAGAACTGAAGAGAGACAGCCCATGTCACGTCAAGGGGCCTCCCTCCCATTTTTCTTAGAGACACGCTGCTCGCTCCTTCACTATCCATCCTTTGGTTCAAACAGTCTTATACTGCCATCCGGTCGAAAAAAGGTACTACATGCAAAACAATATAACACACATTTCTTCTTCAATTTGACAGTAATTTCTAATTATTGTCAAATTTCAAACAATATTATTGTTTATCGCAATAATGTCTGAGACAATTAATCGCCCAGCAATGTGTTATTGTGACAGGCCTAACTGTAGCCCTCTGAGCATTTTAGTTGAATAGCCCTTCCCCATACCATCTACTTTAAAGACCTTTGTGTATGTTGTCATCATTCTTTGTTGAAATCAGGTCTCTCTTGTAAATAAGTCCTCGAGGCTCAATGGGATTTACCTGTAGAAATAAAGGTTGAATGGATGTTTTACATCTTTCTTTTTTTTCCTTCTTTTGCTTTGTGTATTTTACCTCTGTCATTGCACACTTTTCCCATCTCTCTGTCCCCTGGCTGTAACCCCTCTTAGTCCTCTCCACCTCTTTTTCTACCTATTTTTCCTTTCCACTCACTTGTTCATCAAGCCCATTTACTGCTTGCATTCCACTCTTGGCCCTGCATACATTTGCATTGTAATAGGACATTAATTAGCTCTAGGCAGTGTGCATGTGTAGAGATGGTCATAATGGAGTGGTCATAAAGAGGCTCACCTGGGCCACTTGTTTTCAGCCTAGATCTCTTTTGTTAATGTGTGTGTTGCATCTGTGTTTGGGTGTATGTGTTCAGATATTGTTACAAGCTAAAACAGCATGCAAGAAGTATTAAAGTGACACTAAAACAGAATACACAAGTGCCTTTTTGCACATATTTTTGCACACACTTTACACGTTTACTCGTTTTAGTGTTGG